CTTCCACTCTGTGTGAATCTGTGAATCTTTCTTTTTGTTCTCACAGTTAAGCAAGCTACACAGAACACAGAGATAAAGGTTTACACTTCTTTTCTTTTGCTTCTCTTTCTTACTCCAACAGCTTCAAACTTGTATGTATTTCTTCTTATTAAAGGTCAATAACCAAACACCAAAGACATTTCAATAGGATTCTTTTTGGTTCAAGTCCACTGCTTATGGATCAGCATCCACTATGCTGTCAGCTGCATCCCTGGGAAATTTCCAGCTGTCAGAACAGAAATCTGTTGTTGCAGTAAACCACACCACAAAGCCAAACAGTACTGCATTCCTGAATGTCGTTGGAGAGTGTTTTAGAGGCAGTCTACAACTAATGCAGAAAAACTTCTTTCAGAGACTTGGTAGGCACATTATCTTCACTGGTCATGAATCACTTGTTTCAGGATGTCTGCTAAACAGCCCCTGTTTACTCTGCATTCAGTCTGGGGGTTGGAACAACAGCTAGTAACCAGACACTCGGGACCACATATAAAACTTCCAAAAAAATCTTCCACTCACAATCAGTTTAAAGACGACTTTGTCTTTTTAAAGAATTTTTCTCACTTACAGCAATACTTAAACTCCTAATGTTATTCTGATTCAAGAAGAAACTCAGATGGAGTCATCCAGTATTCTCCTGAAATATTATATTAGAGTTAAAATAAAAAAAATTAAAATATTAGACTCAAAGGAAGTTTGTCATTTCACGTATGGTCTGAGCAAGCACTGCTGCTAAAAGAAGCCAGCGTGTTCTTCCCCTTCTCCTTTGCTATGTGTTTCTAGGACTACATTTCAAGGAAACCCATTTTCCTTGCGAATGCTTCTGTGGAAAGCAATTTTCTCCAACCTTTAGGAGCACACATGCAGCCAGCCACCTCATCTGGCCATAGCATGATGCTACAATAAAAACACTGTGCCGCTTCGGATTTTTTGAATAATGCAATATACAAACCATCACTTCTCTGCATGTTCTCACTTAATGCTCCACAAAGAAGAAGGATTAGTTCAACCAATTGTGCTCTGCACCTTGTTACAAGGTTCTACTCGCAATTAAATATTAACCGTGTACTTTTCTGCTTACTGACAAAAATTGATCACTAAATCTGTTTTATTTGAAACCTCTCCACAAAGTATAAGAATTTCCTCATTATATATTTGAATCTTTTAAAATTACATTCTGAATTTTAAAAGGAAACTTCTTATCAAGGAGTGTACTTTACATTCTAAGTTTTGACAGGAAATCATTAATATTAATTATATTTTAAAATTATTATCTCCAAAGTAAGAAACCTTATATGACTGCATTGCCAGAAATATCTATTACAATATTAATAATTGAAAATTAAAAAAAAAAGAAGTTAGCCTGATCTGAAAGATCTCTAAGTATCTATGGCATGATCTTTGCAAAGATATTTTTTTTATATGGCTGTTCAGATGAAAAATAAAGCTAAAATTAAAGGCTAAAAATGTTATTCAGGGGAATATATAATCTCAATTTTCTTTATGTAGTTGCTGCACATTTGAGAGGGACTACTGCTATCACTAGCATTGTAGTTATTTTAAATCATTTTTTGGAGGGTGGAAAAATAAAGTTTGGCCTTTCATTAAAACAAAAAGAACAAGAATATCAAAAGAAATGCATTCTTTCTTATGAACATCTTTATTCACATACTCGTGACATAAGACATCCCACCGAGCTATGTGTATGCGCGCACACACAGAGTACCCAGAAATCAGGTAAGGTGCACGCGAGGCATGCATTCTTACAGCATTATACAAACAAAACTGCCATGTATGGTGCTTCTGAAGTGAATTAAGTAATATTCTGTGGGCATGTAGGATATTTATGATGGTACAGCAAAAAAAAAGCAAAAGATAATAATCCTCAATATCTGTAATGGAAACACCCGCCTCTGGCCTGTGAAAGAGTAAAGTCTTTATAATGCACACCTGCCCTAGCCAGGTCGCAAGCAGACCAAAAAAAAAACCACCACTACATGGCCAGGTAACTACCATCCTTAACTTTAAAGCAAAAGCCTTCTTCCAAGGCTAAGACAAGACATTGTAAACTCAAGGTTTAGGGTTTTTTTTTCCATCATCTTAATTAGTACCCTGAAAAGAAAAAAGAAAGAAAAAGAATGAAGAGATTTATTTAGAACAACTGCAAATGACTCATTTAACCTGCATACCCACTAGGATGGATAACTTCTAGGCAGAGAACTCTAAATGCAGTTTCCATGAGAACAGAGTCACATCATGATATTTTTAATGTCTTCTCTTAGGAAGTAATCTACATTTAAAATATGGAAACTAGCATTAGGAAACTAAACCAAAGTTAAACTTAGGTTCATACCCCAGTGGAATACTTTTACTCTATAATAAAATTAAGCCATTCCATAATAGTACCAAGAGGACAATATCCACATTATTACTGATTGTGCTACAACTCATCAAATTCTGGAACAGTCTTTGCTCTTCCTAGTAAGAAACATATAAAAAAAAATTATTCAAGTAACTGCTCAAACCCCATCCTGTCAAACAAGCTCCAGAACACATTCTGACTACACAACTCAGACATCCAGCAAGGAAAAGAACACCCACAGATGCTGAAACACATTACACGGAACCACAAAACCCAAAGGACAAATGTGAACTAATTCTTGCTATAAACAGTGAGGCAATCCAAAATACCAATTGAATGTAAAAGCTCCTTTGGAGAAAACAGTACTTTTACTGTTCAGAAGTGGTACTTGATACCAAGGACGGAATAACAGTGACAGTCCATGCTCATCCCGTTTCCCCCCCAGGAATCAGTAGAAGGTTTTCAAGGCTGTGGGTTTTGTAAGCCTGGTGTCACCTGGGACACATGGGGCTTTTTGTTTATAACTGGAAGACAGGAACCATGTAATCATACCTGTCTGCTCCGATGGAGTTAATCAGAGGGATCTGATTCATATTGCATAAACTAATACCCAACTACTCACCTGTAAGTAAGAATCAAGAAGGAATTTTTCCACTGTGAGACTTTTTCTAGTGCTGACAAAACAGTGCCAGAAAGCTGAAGAGTAACTCTGTAAAGCTATCACAAGTTCTGGTAGGTCAGATATTCAGATCAGAAATGGCACACAGAAAGCCTATTCTGAATGCTATGGGCTAACCCCCAAAGTACCAAGAGATGAAAGCAGGCCAAGGGCCTTCAAAAGAAGAACGAAAAGGCCACCCAGAAACAGAGTGTGAAGACACTGAAGTACTGTCAGCTTTGGAAGGGGCAGGCAAATACGCTGGGTCCATGAAGAGCTGCAATCCCCAACAAGATCCCCAACTGAACCAGGAGATACTGTGGCAAGCCCTAGTTATAGATGAGGGAAAACAAAAATCACATGCTAACAGACAGTTTGGGGATGAAGGAATTCCCCTTACAAGTCTGTTCAGGATTTGTTTTTTCTTCACAAACAGGCATTTAAAGCCTGCCATTTCAAAGCCCATTCAGATGCTGTCCTTGAGCAGGTCATTCAAGGCAAATGGCTTCTGACCAGAAGAAAACCCCTTTAGAAAGGTTTTCTACCTTGTTAAAGCAGAGCACAGGTGCAGCAGTAACATTCTGAACCACACAGACAAATGGACTTGCGTTGCCTGCTGCTACTGCTGGAAGAACTCCAAATAATGGCTCAGTAAAAATGCCATTACTAAAGAATTGCTGCTAGTAGAAAATTACGTGTGACCTTTTTGTCCCAAACAGTTGTATTTCTAGTAGACACAAATAGGAAGAATTCAATGAGTAAATTAACAGCAGAAATATAATCATACTATGTATGGGAACTGTCAGTCTGTAAGTGCTCGTTTGTTCTTACCTTCTTCTGCCTCATCCTCCTGGGATGACACAGGCCCTCCTCCACTTGTCGGGCTGACCAATTCTTCCTCTCTTGCAGATTCTCTTTGTAGACTGACAACTTCATAAATTGCATCCCCAGCACTTGTGTGGCTTTTGCCTTCAGACTAAAATGAAATACATGTATGTATTAGGTCCACACTACCGATAAACGCCATTCTAACAGTATGCCAAAACCACACCCAAACACAGATAAACAAACCTCCTGTCGAGGCTAAACAAGAGTTTCCGCAAGAGTCCCTCAGATTCCTTTGCAATGCCACCCACAGCCTGGCAGTAATTGATAGCCCTGTTTCTTGAAGTTTTATAGGTGGAAAATATACATAAAACTGCATTATGTGCAAAGCAGTCTTCTAACAACCATTTTAAGTATTGTTCAGAATGATGATCAAAAAGGTTTCCAATTTAAATAGCAATAATGAGATGAGGTCGAAGAGAAACTGCAGCAAAAGAAAAGAGGAAAGAACAAACAGGAAATGTATCGGAGTAACTGCCATCACAGAAAGAGGAATCAAATGCCTGAGGGGAAAAAGAAATGGATGGGAAGAGTTTTTAGTAGGTAAAGACAAGACTAAAAAGAAACAAAGCCTCATGATTTTTGAAAGCCGTAAATTGTGGAAAGCTCCTCGTAGTGTTTTACTCATTAAAAAAAACGGAAAAATTTATCTTTCTTCTAGAGATTACAACATGTATTATATTCCTTCCCATGGGAAAATGTATTGTCTGTACCGAGCTATAAAATCTGTATTTGTATCCAAAGCTTTATTTACCCCTTCACTTTTATATATATATATACGTATCTGTGCATGCTTCTGTCTGTGCACACACATGTTCAAATGACGTATACCTGTCAATCCAACAGTTCAACTAGCTTGGAATTTGAGTGTGCTATTGGTGACAATATATATTTGATGTTAGACTATATTCAGTGAAAAGCATTTTGTTCTGTAAAAGCAGTTTTTCTCCCTAATCTGTCTCTTTGGGAATTCAGTAACTTTCAATACAAACTGCCTCAAAACTTGGGGGACAGGGGGACATTGTTTTCATTTTACCTAGAGATGGACAAGTTCAGAGTTTATTCCAAGTCTTGCATGTTCGCATGTTCAAAGGACTTTCACATGAAAGAGAAGTTAGTTAGCCATATTTTAAGTACTGGATACAAGGTTGCAAGTTTTAAAATAGAAGGACTATTAGTTTTTCCTCTGAGCTACAGTTCTGAACACAATTCAGTGACAAGCAGTGATACATATATTTGGAGAACACTGTGTAAAACTGCAAATTTAAAATACAGTATTCTCAACATTTGCATATAATGGTTTTCTCAGAGTTTCCTAAATTCTAAGTTGCTATGCTAATCTCTAGAAGAAATACAGAAACAGCATTGCATGAGATTTATTTACTCACTAAGTGTTAAACACAGCTGCCCTTTTGCCGTGTAATATCAACAAAGCTTGTTTTATCGGACCTATTACTGTGCCTCACAGGAAGATGACAACTCCAAGATTCATATTAGGCTCAGTCAAATTAAATCCTGCTCTTTGGTTTCATTAGTCAGATGACAGACCATTATTCCAATGCAAATGACACAGTTAGCTTCTGCTGTTCGCTTTCTGAACCAATACCACAGCAGAAGTCTTTGGGGAAAGCCGGTCAACAGCTGCTGCAGGAGGATGCAGCTGTGCATTATCCTACAGCAGACACACATACCTTCTGTACCTCACCCAATGCAAAAAGCAGAAGGGACTTGAGCAATCTACTCAGAAGGTAACTCTTCAACAAACTTAACCAGATGAGTTAGATATATCATCTCTCAGTACTTGAGGAAGAAATAAATGCACATGAATCACGCAGGCACAGGACTGGGAAAGCCAACATAGAGGGAACACACAACTATGCATGAAGCTTCATCTTAACCACTTCCTCCCTCTGTAGAATCAAGCAATATTTGTACAACTTGACTTAAAAGGTAAACTTAAGGGACTAACAAACTGAAGTACTTCACAACAGAGTTTGCTAAAAACTATTATTTCTTTAACTGCTATTAGAACATTTCAAAAGGGTACAATCATCGGCAAGAAATCACATGATCAGTGCTAATTTAATAAATCATGGCAACAATAATGCCCTTAGCCTCACATTTCAAAAAGCCTTGGGGCAGTTAAAGACAAGGACGTAGTTCATTTTATACCCTCATCAGCAACCACAAGGATGAAAACATAGTAACTTCTCCATGCAGCTGAACTTACTTTTCCAGATAACCTTATTCCAAACTTGTATTTCCAAAAACATGGAGAAATCTACCTTCTCAGGTACTTTGAAAAACAATAGTAATAGCCTAACTCTTTTAAACTTCTGCATTAGGTTCATTTGCCTTTAATTGATTTTATTCTTACAGCTACCTACCTTCACATTTTGAACCTCAGCAGCCAGGATTTCCCATCCTTAAATATTAGTTGATTTTACAGTAAACAATGAAGGAGTCATTTCCCAATTTTACCAGTCAAATGGGCTCGCTTTAGATGTCTGCACAGAGGTCAGACTGTATGAAATTACAGAGGATTCAACAGACAGGTTCAAAATTGTTTCAGGTCACCAAGCCAATGACTTGTGACTCATTATAATGTAGTTTACAAAGGAATTGTACATTTATATATGCTACTTAACCACGATGCATATAAGCACCTCAGCAAGGAACAGTCAAAAGAAACAAACTACTGCGGTGCAGGTGCCATGCTAACTTTTATAAAGATCAAATTAAAACAGACAAAAATGCTCCCCACATCAAGGTTTCTTTAAAAAACAAATATACAAATATACCTGTTTTAGCTTCATATAAAAAGTTTCTGTGAAGGTTTTTCTGCTGAAGTACCAGAAGCGTTCATTGGCAGGATACACACGCACAACAGTCTCCAGCAAAAACCGCACCGGCTCTACTACTTCAGTAACAACCATATCCACGGCCACAGTCATGAACACACGCTTATCTAAAGCACAAAAATAGGTCACGTACAGAGAAAGCAGTCAAAGTTCAAATTTTCCAAAACAATAAATGACAGAAGTAAACTGTTGTTCAAACTGAAAACCCTTCCCATACAATTACTGATTTTATTGCACCCGTTTTATTTATGGGAGTTCTACACCCTGTTTGCCTGTTGTATTGAATGAGAGTGTGCATTAAACAGAGTACCAAGTAACTGACAACTTTTTAAAACACAGACGATGTGTCTTTGTTTCAAAAAGAGAGAGGCAAAATGTCATGCAAAGAAAATGGTATTAAGACACGGCCCCTATCAGACAAAAGGTACGTGCAGAGGATAAGGTCATTATGGGAGTTCTACACCCTGTTTGCCTGTTGTATTGAATGAGAGTGTGCATTAAACAGAGTACCAAGTAACTGACAACTTTTTAAAACACAGACGATGTGTCTTTGTTTCAAAAAGAGAGAGGCAAAATGTCATGCAAAGAAAATGGTATTAAGACACGGCCCCTATCAGACAAAAGGTACGTGCAGAGGATAAGGTCATATTTTAAAGTCTGAGGGAATATATACATGTAGTGTCAAGGATCTCCTACAGCACTGTTTGCCCTAAATCCTCTCCTAACACTAAGAAACACTTCAGATCATTTTTTATGTCCATGCCCACACTCTGTCAGTTACAAGAACCCAAAACATTTTACTCCTCCCTGTCAGGAGGAGTCCTCACAGTAGCAAAACACATTTTTAAAGCAAACCATGGATCGGTAATCTTAGTCTGTAACAGCTCCATCTTCCTGATACTGAAGCATAACTCCAGCTTTTTCAAGTAGAGGAGAATGCAGGATCAACTGACCAGAGGAGGAGACTGAAATAGTCCAAGTGTACCTTGCAGGTTTACAAGAAAAGGTTTGCTGCTTCTGGAAACGTTCATCACAGAGAGAGATAGCAACCATCACGTTGCATCTCAACTGATAATCTTTCTTGCAGGAAGCACGGATTTTTAAAATACACATTTAGAATCAGACATTATGGATCCCTAGGTTCCCTTATCAGACCAAAGAGGCAAGTGGATATTTCAAAAAGCAAAAAAAAACCCCAAAGCTACAAAACCAAACCACACCACACACACAATGTCATATCACAAAACAGAGCCTGTCAAGCTGCGTAACCGGAGCTTTGCCTATATGCTACCAGAAATAACGTGACAATCCATCAGCAAGGACAGCGACACTGGCTGGATATGCCTTCAAGCAACTGATGCGAGTTCTGCCATGGGACAGGAAACAATTCCAGATTTGCATTCAAAACTTTTACATCAGAGAACATCAGTTCTAGTGGTAAGAAACTGTGCTATAAAATGAAGCACATCAGTGCATCACTTGCAGCTGCCCCAAAATGAAGGGGATGTGATGCTATTTGTAACCAACTCACCTCCAAACTAAAAGAACAGCAATGCTTACAATTTGTACTGGTTGCTGAGTAGAGAAAGTGGAAAACAACTTCTGCATACCCAGGGAACAGGCACATACGCCCCAAACACTAATGCAATGTCTCCAAATCAGCAACACGCAGCTCTGTGAACAACTGGCATTTCTATGCTGCATGTGTTTATACAGCAAAGTTCCTAGCCGTGGACTCTCGGACATACGTAGTGGTGTATGTCCTCAGCATAAGTTCCTAGCCATGGACTCTTGGACTGTAACGGTGTATGTCCTCAGACACATGCACCATGATTTCCAGGACAAAATACGTACACGATGTCAGGTAAAACAAATTTAGAAATTAAATTAAATTACCTTTAGGAGTTTCTTCATTAAGTGCTAGAAACATGGGTGCATTAGGATTCCACATTCCAGTGATTATTTTTTTTTTCCCATGGATTCCTAAAAATAAAAACATACAGGATTCTATCGTGATCAGAGAGACTGAGCATGGGGAAATAGTTCTAGGAACTTCAGAGTAAGATTCTCTAGAGTGAACACAATCTAAATAAAGAATATGAACAATGGATTAAGAAAGGTTATGTGGAAATAAAAAAAAAAACCTAAAGACAAGAAACGTTATATAAGAAACTGAAGTCCAGAGAGTTTATCCACGTACTTTTTTCATGCTTATTATAAGCATGAAACATGGTAGGATGTCTGACACTACTTTCTGAGCAGCTGAGATGGTTGTTAGGACAGGACGAGTTATAGGAGAATTCACAAAATTAAACTAGCCCCACAGTATACGCAGAGATAGTTCAGAAAACAAAAGTCTTAACAGAGTAAGACCTTAACAACTCCAACCCAAAGATCAAGCTAATTTTCTCCACTCTGTAATTATAACTCTGCCAGATTTTTCCCAGAGTTGCTTAGGGATGGACTTAGATTTCTAATAATAACCTCGTAAATATAAACATGCAAATAAAACAGTATTTGCATATTTTATGTCTGACGAGAACTAAACACTGCTAGATAGACTCATCAGCACAAATAAAGAAACAGACTGTTTCTGGGATAACGTTATCCCAGCAAAACTGGGATAATGATACAGCCTCAAAATGTCTGAATGGTTTAACTCCAGCACTTCTTCACCTGAAAACGGTTGTGTTCTTATCCATGGTGTGAAAGTGAATTGCATCATCACAGAAAGTACCGTATTACTTTGCACTCCTCTTACAAGCAACTCAGAAGAAATGAGGATTGTAAAAAACAAGTGAATACTTCAAGCTGAGCAAGAACTTATAACCAAATGAAGCAAATAAAGGCAAAGTTTTCAGCACCTTAGAAAAAAAAGACCACTTCCCTGACGCCCAGATATAAAACCAATTATTTGCTCTAAATTTTTAGGCAACATGCTTACCACAATAGAGAAAGTTTAGTTATTTGTATCAACCAGCTGTCAGCTGACCTAATCAGTGTCTTCACTAATTGAGCAAAAACCAGATGCCACAGATTTTGACATCAATTGTTTTGACATTGTGTTTTGCCCATCATATGTAACATGTTTGTTTCTAGTTTTAAGATACAACCCACAGTTTTTAAGAAAAAAAAAAACACAATAGGTTGGTTTGTTTATTTGTTTGGAATCACCTCTACCTTACTAAAGAGATTATTAGAGCTAAGTATTACCATGTCTAGTAAATGCATGTCACTATTCTTCACATTTCGTCCAGGGCTTAGCAGCATCCCAAAGCATCTGTGAAGTTGTTAAAAAAAAAAAAAAAAGTAGATAGATATTAGCTTTTCAAAGTACAAATGTTATTTTCTTGAACATAATGGCACAGCCACCTACTGCTTCTAATTTAAAGAAAACCTTTCTTAGCAATTTTTTGTTAGTGTTATGGCAACACTCAGGAAACATCACAACATGTATTAAAGAAAAGACAATGAAATAGTTTTCCACAATGAAGATGACAGAAATTAGTGTCTGACCTGTGAACAATCAATTATTCCTAAAGACACTTAGAACACTGAGTTTAAAGATACCAACAATCCCTATAGATTAGTGATGGAGAGTAGGAAGAAGTTCACTCCCCAGTCCATTTTAAAAATTGCTTTCATACAATCATATGAAAAGTTACAAACCCACACACTGTATCACCCATAATGCCAGTGGTGTAAAGCATCATGTAGCATCACATGCCCTTAAAAAACCCCAATATGTTCAGTTTTTAGATTTCTTTAAACTTTTGTATTGTACAAGACCTTGAATTCCAGTCCAATCATTTAACAACAAAATGTTCTTGATATTTAAGAGCACAAAAAATAAACATTCTTAAAATATTTAGACTTCTGAACTTTCTGAAAATTGAATGCACAAATCCAGCTCTGAAGGTTCTGCAAATCATCTTTATCTTTCTCTCCTTTGAACATACTCCATTATGAACAAAAAACCCACCACCAGACAGATTGATGTATTTGTAACATAAGCTGCAAGCAGTTTTGTATAGGCTTTTAAAATGTTAGATCTCAAATGAGGGGGAAAAAAAAAAAAGACAAAAAAACAACTTGAAGCAACTGCATCATGAAATGTTATGGAAAACTGGGGACATATTTCAGAGGATTTTTCTTTGAGAATTTTTCTCCTGTGCAACTCAATTCTCTAATAATCAGAGACACCACTTTCTATTCCTAACTCTCAGAAGAAAATAAACTGGGAGCGATCTCTACAAGCAATCTGACCCCATCCTCTACTCAGAAGAGGACCAACTTGAATACCATTGCCCTGGGCCTTGTTAAACTCTGAGTATCTCTAAAAAGAGAGAATGAATGCTCTCTTTTGGTAACCTGTTCCAATGCCCGGCTCCCTTTATACTGACAACTGGCCTAATTCAACAGAGGAATTTCCAAGGAAGTAACTTGTGCCCATTGACTCTAATCCTACCACTCTGCATCTCCAAGATGGGTCTGGCTCCATCTCTGCCATACCCTCCCACCAGCTACTTGAATGCACCAGGAAGAGCCTCCCAATCCCACTTTAAGTCTGAACAAAAGCAGTTCTGGCCTCTGGGCAACCCGATTCTCCAAATGAAAATTCAGAATTTTCAACAAACATAATTCGTAAGAGACTATTTAAACATTCATAGATTAGCAATGAAGACAAAGTATTTTCACCACTTTCAGGCAAGCACACTGTACCACGAAGAGTGATATAATAGCAACTATCATTTCAATAATCCTATTAAATGTAAAAGTCTTAAGAAATGCAATTACTACACCATCTAGTAAATTCGCCCCTATTACGTTTGGGTATGTGATTTTCATTTTCCACTTCATTACATTTAAACAGTAACTTACATCCACAACTATTATTTTTCCTTCTTCATATTCTTTCACTCGTAGAATCTTAAAAACTGAAGTGGTAAATAAAATGTAGACAACCATTTTGATTCACTTATCTAGCATAATGCAGTGCCATGTAAAGCCACCAAGGTAGCTGGGATGCTAGGACTTCTATTTAACCACCCCAGCAGCCTTGTCAGTGAGACTCAAGTAGACCAGGTGGTACACTACAGTAAACTGACTGGCTAGGTTTTGTTCCTGAGGTAGAAATAGCTCTGAGAGGGCTGTAAATTATATTAGTAGGTTGGTCACCAGCTTCTGGTACATCTGCCACAGAAAACTCTAAGGCTAAGATTCAGAGGTACGCCAAATATCTGTGCTTTTCAAAGACAACAGCTCACAGATCTTAGCTCTGGCTGTGTTTCTCTCGGATGTGTGCACATTCTGATGTGTGCCAGCCACAATTTTTGGGAAGCGTGCTTCCAAAAGAGTGAGAGTCAGGAACAAGTAACCTCTGCCTCTGACAGAAGCAGCTACTTCCCATGACTAGGAGCATCCTGCTATGAGAAGAGTCAGGGCTTCTCTTCCCTCTAAGTTCAAAGAGCAAAATGAGTTCAAGTGAGTTCAGGACCCTCACCTGCAGGTGCGCTAGATTTTACACAAAGAGCGGTCAACATGTTCAGCCTCTGATTTGAGGAGTCCGAACCACACAGCCAGGACTCCAAATGACCTGCACAGACTGTGGGCCCCAGTCCTGACACTTCTGACACTGTCGGGTTTCCTGCACTTGCAGCTGGCTACCAAGTGGCTGTGTATACATTTCCAGTTACATAAATACAAATGCTATCCACGGATAAGGCTTACAGTATTAAGTTAACATGGAAACATGATCTTTAAGAGTCTTTGCTACTACTGAACAACCAGCCAATACTCCGTACGTCAGTTCCAAGGACTCCAGCCAAGACTTTAACCTAAGCTACACCTACATAGCTTGGTATCAACTCTCCTGTATGACTCGCAGCACACTGGATTTAAACACCACTGTACTGAGAACAGAGCAAAAGGCTATTTCACTCCTCACAACTTTCTTAAAGCCCCTGATCATTAACCAGAATTTTCTTCTTGAATCCTGTACACCGCTGCACCCTGATATCCCACACTGTGGGACTGATCCTATGTGGTGTCACACACAACTCAAACCTGGGAGACTGGAATGAACAACACTTCTTTATCTGTTCCACCTAGATAAAACCAGGCAAAACCCAGGTCAAACAGGCCCCAGAGGTAGGAAGGGCTAAACTCAACTGAGAAACCTGCTCTGTCACCCTAACCCAGGCACAGGCCCTACGTGAACACCCGGAGGTGGCAGGTTTCTCTGAGCGATACCAGGTTTACTCCTCTGAGACCATGAAGATTCTTGAACTCTTTAGACCAGAGACCACATTTCTTTAGCAACAACATTTATTCGCATTATAACTTCTACTTAGGAATACTTTTTTGAAGACACATTAAATTGCTTAGGAGCTCACTGTCTGATGTAACCTGGACTGACCTCTTATACCGGTTTTGAATTTTAATGTTATGCAGTGCAAGTACATAAAATGACTTACAAAACGCTGTGTCATGTCAATTAAATAACTCGTTATCAGCAAAGCTTGTGGTGATAAAAATAACATCCTAATTGAATATCCTAAACACCATCAAAGTAAAAGCTATTTTCCAAGGAAGGTAGCTTTGTGGGGGGGGGGGGGGGAGCGGAGTGGAGGAAATCAATCAAATGCTAGTCAGAAACGCTTAGGAGAGTTCTTCATTCATTAACAGAGCTCTGAAGCCAAAACTATTTAAAAGTAAAAATATGTTGAAAATAGGATTCTTTTTAAAGCCAATGAGTAGCAAAAGCACAATTTTACAACATAAAAGAATGATGGTAAAAAAATTCTGCTGTATATTACTTGTTTAAAATATTAATTTCATATTTTTAAATAAGAGCTTGAAAGCAACTGAAAACTCATTCTTAGGTTCTGTGAGGGTTGTGGGGCTTTTTTCTTTATTTTCCTGTTACCCTGAATTCCCTGTTCACTAAAACTGAATTCTCCTACTGTTACTCTTTTGATAAGACTGCCATCTGGTGGCGTTGGCCATTTTTAAAAATTGAGCTATTGAGAAGGAATTTCCTAATTTAAATTAATACAATACCTACTACCACAGTAGCAACAAGAGTTAATGGACACATTAACTGTTGTTCTTCACATGCATGATCCACTTCTTGTGCAAATGCTTTGCACAAAAGAGTCAGATTATTCTGTCCAAAAGGGATCCCCTTCATGCAATTTCCAGGAGATAAAACAGGACTCATCAACCATTCCTGCACTCTTCACAATCACTTCAAGATAAACATCACAATCACATTATAACTAAACTACAAAGGAATCCTACTCATCTTGAGGACTTTCCCAAAAGATTAAAGATTGTTTCTTCTAACCAGCAGAGTGAGTCAAATGGTGTAGTGTTCCAGTATACTGATCTAACAGATTCATGTTCTCCAAGGTTTAACGTAGCTCAGATGACCTAACCGGTTACTTTTACTAAATAGTGAGATGCTGGTAATGCAGGATTACAATAAATGAATGCTTTTGCACTACTTAAAAATAGTAGAAATCAAAATCAAAAGCATTTGAATATCGTAAGGATCCTAAGACCACATTAAAAAAGACAATTAAAAGGCAAAAACTTAAGAATGTTTGAGTATTACAGGCTATATTTCTTATGTTCACCTACAAAAATAACACAAATGCTTCAAAAGAAATTTAAAACTGAACTGCGCACCTACTAATTAATTATACTGTGCAGTGATACTTTCTGTGTTATTGTATTTTTCTGTCACATGACTTGCAAAGACAGGGAAAAGTACATTAAACACTGTTTTCTCAAAAACTTCATCACTTTTATAAGAATCTTACCTTTCAATGGCCAGTTCTTTGTTTGAGAGTTGCTGAACTGTAACCACCACTTTCTTCTCAATTCCCTGTTTAAGCTTGAAATACAATTTCTCTCTATCCTTTGGCACAGGGCTAAAATAGTAAAGAACCAAGTTTCTTAAGCACAGGTACAGCATATTGACTGTTAAATACAGAAGAGAGAGTAGCAGCCCGCTAAAACTGTTAATGGCTCAGCTCATTTTGAGAGAACTTCTCTTCCTTTATTCACAAATTAATAAACCAGCACTGAAGACAAACAGACTATAGGGTCACATTTATATGCTGTCTGGGGGATCTATCAGACAAATGTATGCAAAAATGCATGGGGTTGGGCTCTAAAATGATAGAACATGCACTATATACTGGCTATAAAGCAAAAAACAAGTAAGACATTTTCACAGAATTGCCTATTATTAACCACTTTCTCTTCTATTACAAAAAATCTTGTAATTAACTGTTAGACAAGAAATACTTTGCTCCCCTATCCCTTGTAATGCTTAGAGAAAGTCACATTTTATAAATCTTCAATAAATTTGAAATTTATTAGCTTATTTAAAAAAAAAGAGACACCACTAGACTGTATTTAATCAGGAAAAATTGGGCCTGCTTAAAGTTTTTACAGACTTCCTACTATCTTTTCCATTTATACAAGCCTACCTTGAGCATCCCTACCAGAAATTATGTATTTAAAAGAAACTACCTTGAAAAAGGTATCCTTTATGATTTTACAGAAAAGATACAGAGAAGAATACTGTAAAGCAAAGCAACAGCTTCCTTTTTATAACTGTTTATAAACTTTTTATTAAAAAGCCAAATCGATTTTACTGCAACACAGTAGCTGTGCATTCTGCAAGTAGCTATATGCTGTTTTTCAAAGAAATTTCTACTTTTCTCTTTGCATTCAGATTACCTAAAATTTCCTTTTCCATCATCTTCTTTGACTTCTAAGGAAACACCGAAAGTGTACACATCACTGTCTGGAGTAGGAAGAGCAAAGTCCTTCACATGATCAGATGCTTGTTTGGAAGAACGTTTGAATGCTGTTGAGAAACTGTACAAAATTCGGCTGACCTGCAGTAAAGCAAAAGAACTTACAGTTTTATCAAAAATAAAATAGTATTTTTATTGGAGTATTGCGACATGTTTTTGAAGGTCACAAAGTTACTGTCGCTCATTTCTTATACTGCACACAAAGCCTGCCTTGTGCATCACAAACCGTTCAGACTGGATGTTTAACAGCCAAGAAAACGCAGTAACAACATCTATTTCTATGCATGTGACGCTCCATACGTTGTTACACCTTACAAGAATGCACCTCATTAGAGGGCCTGATTAACTTACTTTTTCAGGTTGTGTGTTTAACAACACAACTTAAGCTTGCTCTTGCAGAGGTCAAAAAACAAGGCAATTTCTTCTTTGTCAACCTCTATTTTTCCACCCTAGAAAATCCTTTGCTCCCAAACTATCACACAGTTCTTCCTAAAGTATCTAGGGCAGAGTACTGTAAAATGATTCTTTGTACTCACAAGGCTTATACTGCAACTTTAGTCTAAAACCTACCCTAATGAGGCCTGAAAAATATAATTATGTCTTAAACTTAGGCTTTCTAAATCCTCCCACTAAAGTGCACTTTGGAATTTTACTGGAATACTAGAAAAAAAAATATTAATGTTCACATATGACTAGCTGCACATTCTGAGAAATTCATTATATATGCGTTAACAGATTTTTCAAGGCACTATATACCATTCCCACATCTGGAAGAACTTCCTAAGTACCGCTTGCATCCTTTTCGCAAGTTACTGTACAACATTTAATACTTACTGCCTCTTTAATCTCACAGGAGAAAACATGAATCTGGAAATCCTCAGTTCCACAGCTGCTTTCAGTAAATGCAAAACAGTCACTCTCAGAAGTCCCATTTTGTCCACGTACACAAAACAACACCTTATAGATTGGAAAAGAGGCTATCTCCACATTGCTTGATTGATCTATTATTCTGTCAAGGGAGGAACAGGGAAAAATCAAGGAATAAGGTCAGTAAAACAAACAGGAACACCTAAAAGACTCTTCTGCTATTAGGTAAATATCTGAACTGTAATTACAACTAAATTCAAGTACATAAGATGGGCAGTGGGAACTGAAACGTCAGACCTTCCAAGTTTAAGATGTAGATGTTTCTGGTTGTAACACTGGCTTAAATTTTTATACTCTGTAACACAGACAAATATAGTACATCTATACCATGTAGTAACAATGACTATCACTGCTCTGCAATCTCTCCTGAATAACACCAGCAGAAATGTAGAAACAACCATGAAAATGCAATTTGTAAACAAAGAATAATGAAAAATCAACATTATAAAATAATTTAAATCTCTGTTTAAGAAAGCATTATTTATTCAGAATCTAGAGGACCACAGAGCTTAGCAAAGGCTTGTTGCCATGTTCAGGTGAATATTTATCACAAACTAAGAGCTCATGCAAAATTTTAAATTCCTCTCAAACTCTGAACCCAATCAATTTCAGAAATTTTCAAGAAGACAACAGGGGTGGTGGTCTCAGAACAGAGTTTTAAGAAATAATAGTTAGAGCCACACAGTTCTCCCCTGTGTCATGGTTTAGCCCCAGCCAGCAGCTAAGCACCACAGAGCCAACTACTTGCCCCCCACCACCCCACCACCCCTAGGTGGGACAGAGAGAGAATCAGACAAAACCCCTCATGGGTTGAGATAAAAAGCTTAATAGGACAGCAAAGGGAGAGAAGTTAATAATAATAATAATAATTACTGATAAAGGAATTTACAAAAACAAGTGATGCACAATGCAACAATTACTCATCACCTGGTGATCAACAGCCTGTCCCCTGCCCCCCAGCAATCCCCCCACAGCCAACTCCCTTCAGCTTATATACTGAACATGATGCCTTAGTGCATGAAATGTCCCTTTGGTCAGCCTGGGTCAGCTGTCCTGGCTGTGTCCCCTCCCAGCTTCTTCTCGACAAGAAGCTGGGAACAGAGCTCTGTTCAGTATGAGACACTGAAAAAGTCCTTGGCTTAATGCAAACACTGCTTGGCAACATGGAAAACATCAGTGTTACTTGCAGCACAAATCCAAAACACAGCCTCATACTAGCTACTATGAAGAAAATAAACACCATCCCAGCCAAAACCAGCACACCCTCTTTCCTCTCCTTGTCCATATGCACGTTCACATCAAGGGTGAATAAACATTCCGTACCTGGAATAGAATCCCAAGTCTGTAACAATAAAACTAAAGGACTAATCTAAAGGCAAGAAAAAGCCAGAGAGAATTCACCATGTCATAATACTGGTGGGACATGTTAAATGGAACCCCACATGACAAGTGTTCAAATACCAGCAAATCCCTCCAAAATGACATTGGTGTCACCTGCACTTTGACTGAGTGTATTATGTCACACATGGATTCACCTTTACAGTTCTGTGCAGATTCTTAAGCTGTCCTTCATTTAATGATGTCCTCTGCAATTAAAGATCCAAGGAACCTGCAGTTTCGCTTGCAAAAAAACCTTCCTTATGGCCATAATGGCTACAAAAATAGGTACAGCACACCTAACAGTAGTGTCTGTGTGACAGTTGCCATCATAGAAGCAGGCACTGTAATTTTCTAATTCAAATGAAATATTGCCATAACGTCAAACAAAATCTCAAATTGGGTTCAAAGAGCAAAATGGAAGAAAATAATACATGTGCTTGAAGGTCCTTCTGTCTTTCTGCGTAAGATGATAGCCAATACGTAGGCGGAACACAGGAAAAGAAAGAAATCTAACCATATCCTTCAGATATCTTGGCATCAGAGATTAAAAATAAAACATCTGAATATGGAGATGGTCCCTACTTTGGGATGGAAGGCTGGCAGAGGTGCAACTTTCGTGCACCCTGACTAAGAACCCCTGCCTCTCTCATCACTAATTAAAAGACCCTTCTCACATGGGACAAGTAGGTGATTTCTAGCATCTCGAGACTACCAGCATATGCATCGTGAGGCAGACACAGCTGAGACTTTAGCATAGCAATGTCTGGAAACAGAAACCAGCATCTCAAGTCCCCAGCAAACGTAGAAGAGTCTAGAACTCTAGAAACTTCAGCTAAACCAAGGTCAGCAGGATGCCTCTAAACAGGTCTCTCAGTGCCCCCTCGGGGCTCCCGGGCTCTGGGACCCTCCTTATCCACCTCAGTCTAGCGCTCAGCTGCCCAACTGACTGCTGAGCCCTAGACGCTGGGCTCGTCGTCGACATATGCTTCTGTTGACACTGTATGGCAACCGCTCAACCAATTATGTACTGCATATTAAATACGAGCATGCATTTTTCTGCTTCAGAGGAATTTCTCCAAAATAACTGTCTTCAGCAAGAACTTTAGGCACAAATCCAGCAATTCTACTTCCCTGTGTAACAAAGTCAGAATCCACCTTTTACGTGCCTGTGCAAGTAACAAAAGAAACACTTTTGTGTTACCTTACAGAGCCTTCTGGAATGTTTGGAACATAAAGCGTTACAGGTAAAGGGGCCTGACTTGAGGATTTCATGTTTGCCATGGCGTGTAGAGCTTCTGGCTCATTTCGAGGAGCAGACACCTTTGTGCAACCTAAGTAAGTCAGTTTGTTAAACAATACGCTGTCCTCTTCCAGGGGCTCGCTGGGAGAAGGTGGTCTTGGTGCACAGATTTCTGAAAATGAAGAAACAATTTTTTTAACCATGTGTTTTTATTTTTCCATATTGTTTTAACGAGTTCCATAGCAAATTTTCCCACTTTTTCTGAGAATACACATAGGGGTCAAAAGTCCAGCTCCAATAGTAAGAAATCCATTAGGTACCTTAATCTTAATGTTCAGTCTATTCTATTCTAAAGCCTGCTTCCAAGTATTGCATAAATTGCCTTTTGATTCTTTTTATCTGTGCTAGAACACAATTTTTCTTAAGCTCCATTCCCCAGATGTACTTTTAGTTTGTTTATATCCCCTTCTAATTCCTACTCATCATTTTGCATAAAGACACCTCTAATTCTCTCCCATGTTTTTGCAGCTTGTGTAGAATTATTAGATGTGGTTCCCATTCCTGGGGTGGCTATGTTAACTGTAGGAAGCCATGAGGGAGCTGCAGAAAAGAGAAGGGATATCTGTTTGTTCCTCTACTCAGCAGAATAGAAGCGTTCTTTTTCCACTATCATACTACTGTGGAGAGGGGCGATCTTGAGGGAGCTTTTCAGAGTTTTGCTGTTGTTACTGTTTTCTGGTGGTCGTTTTTTAAGACATTTTGACATTTGAGAAACAAGAGGAGAGGTGGAAGAAAAATTTGTTAAGTATGGAATCAGAGTAATCTAGGTTGGAAAGATCTGTAGAGGTCATCCAGCTTTAACTCCTGCTCAAAGACAGATCAGGATAGGTTAGGACTAGTTTAAAAACTGAATCAGGTTACTCAGGGCCCTGTCCAGCCAAGTCTTGGCACCTCAGAAGACAGACATTCCAAACCTCTCTAAGCAATCTGCCCTGTTATTTTTGTTTCTTGTTACTCTACCTAATATTTCCAAAATACTTAAATCATAAAGGCTGCAAAATCGAATTATTCCTATTCAGGGGGAGCAGGGGAGAATGCATCTGCAAGTATTTCTTTGTTCCTTCACGCTAAGCGTTGTGTTCCGTTTGAAGCACGTCAAACAGGGAGCCAGTAAGGTAAGTTTCTCAAAAATACAGCATACATGTAATTAAGAGCAGGATGTTTCCATTATGTGTAAAATGTCTATCTTATTCTATCATAAAACCTTTTTTTTTTTTACTTCCCAAATACATGCCATGGGAATTATCTGATATAATCCACAGAAGTGCTCTGCATACTACTGAAGAAAAAATTCTAATTCAAGGCCCACAGAGACGGCCACAGGCTTGAATTCCTACTACACATTTTTTTAAAAAGCTACAATACCTTTGACATAAAATATATACAATATAGTTTACAGGAAAAGCTTTCAGTCCTCCCTTTTTCACCAAAACTTCAAATACCAGAAAAGTACCACAATCATTCCTAGCAAGTATCACATCTAAAGCTGATACCTGGTGATAGAACCAGAGCTGAAAAGTTTCAGGTTGCTCACAGTGTATTTCATTTGTAGGTGGTACTGTCAATGAACGCTGCCCTGAAACTTCCCATACTACATCAGTAGCAGCTCTCAACTACAGTCCATTCATCAAGTCACACGATACCTAGTCCTAAATCACCCAGGGCTGGAGACAAAAAGAAAATTTTCTTGACCAAACCAGAGGGGCACAGATTATCAATCTGATGATAAACTATTCCTGTGTATAAACCTCAACTAACCAGAAGGAGGGGAGGCCCCAGTATATTCTCCAGTATAGTTCTGGAATAAAGCTCCAGAATGATTTATATTCATTTTATGGTTAACTTGAAACTGCATAAAGAAAAAAAAACACCACATATGATGGGGAGGGGAAGCACTTCAGCAATACCTGTAGCAGAAGGGTCTAAAGCAAGGTGCAAAGACGGCTGATTTGTTTGACCTGCTGACCCATCTCTAGCTGCCTGGCTGCTTGCATCACTGGAACCTTCTTGGAGAGCAGTGAAATTGTTCTGGTCCTTTTCAGAATCACCCAGTATCTCTTCCATTGCCTTCTCCAGCTGATCATCTCCATTTGAAAATACCTGTAAGCAGGAGATGATGACACTTTTTAAAAGGACTTGTTAGTTTTACTTTCACCATTATTTTTCAAACATGTCGTCTTAAGTCACTGCAAAGTTAGCAACTTTTGCTCAACAAGACAACACACTAAGAATCAACAAAATTAAATCAAATATAATCCAGTGTCCCACCCCATTACACATAAGGCACATGTTCTCACTGCTAATCCAACAACCACCCTGTAAAACTACAGACCCATCTTAAAATAACAGGTTTGTGTGTTTAGACACTCCATTCAGAACAAAGATCAACAGACTCTGTAATAGGCTTTTCTTTGTCTTAAAGAAAATTTTAGTCATATCCAATCAATTTCAGTTGTTTCACCAATTGTCCCCATATAGGAGGGGTACATGTCTAAGGAAATGGCAAGATACATTTCTGAGGAGAAAAAACAAACAAACAAACAAAACAAAACAGCCTTTCACAAATACTAGCTTTTCAGACCGAAAAATCACTCATGGCCAATAATAAAGTTGCATTGTGGATCCCACCTCTGGTTCACCTGCCTCCTTCCAGACAAAAGCAGCAGCTAGTGTTTTCTACAGACAGAGATGTTGGTTGTAAATAACTGCCAAACAGTAAGGCAGGGACAGACTAAGTACTTCTTGTCATTCCAAGGGGAACAAATTCCTATCGTTCCAAGAAGACCAAGCTACTGCAACTCAAGTGGGCAATTTGTAATTAACCGATCAGCTGTCACCCAAATGCTGAAATATTCTGCTATTTAGGGGTAGAAATGTTTTAGAAAAGATCTTAGTCATGCCTAAATTAGCACTAAGCAGGAAAACTAAATTAAAAACTAAACCCCAAGACCCTCTGTGGTCTATTCCCATGCAGACTAATTACATGTTTTTAAGATAACAACATTCAGAGTCTCTGATCCCTAAATAAAGAATATTTCCCAAGCTTTAATCTGAAGCTCATTCTTTAAAAGGAACTTTTTAGTCCTTTACTAATGTATAAATCCACAGATTACTACCAAAGCTGACTGCCGAAGAACTTATTAAAAGAAAAACTCAACTGCCACTTTTGGACAGATTTGCTTAATCTGAGAATAAGCATCCCAAAGAGTAAGAAATCAAGTACGAAAGCTAGGAGACCTGCATGGATGAGCAGGGAGCTAATGAATAAACGGAAGCGGAAGAAGGAAGTATATAAAACATGGAAGTAGGAGCTGACCACTTGGGAGGAATACAAAAATGTTGTCAAAGGATATAGGGATGCGATAAGGAAAGCCAAAGCTTCCTTAGAACGAAACCTGGCAAGGGAGGTCAAGGACAACAAGAAAGGCTTTTTCAAGTACATTGGAGGAAAAAAGAAGACCGGAGGAAATGTGGGCCCACTGCTGAATGAAGTGGGTGCCCTGGTGACTGAGGATATGGAAAAGGCAGAGTTACTGAATGCCACCTTTGCCTTGGTCTTTACTGCTAAGATCAGCTCTCAGGAGTCCCAGAGCTTGAAAACCTTAGAGGAAGTCAGGAGAAAGGAAGATTTTGCCTCAGTTGAAGAGGGTTGGGTTAGAGAGCAATTAAGCAAACTGAACATCCACAAATCCATAGGCCCTGGAGGGATGCACCCACGAGTGCTGAGAGCGCTTACGGAAGTCATTGCTAGGCCACTCTCCCTAATCTTTGACAGGACCTGGAGAACAAGAAAGGTGCCTGAGGACTGGAGGAAAGCCAGCATTACTCCAATCTTCAAAAAAGGAAAGAAGGAGGACCCGGGTGACTATAGGCCTGTCAGCCTCACCTCCATCACTGGAAAGATGATGGAACAACTTGTTCTTGGTGCCATCTCAAAGCATGTTGAGGAAAGAAAGCTTATCCCAAGTAGTCAGCATGGATTCAACAAGGGGAAGTCATGCTTGACCAATCTGATAGCTTTTTCTGATGAAATGACTAGATGGATAGATGAGGGGAAGGCACTGGATGTGGTCTACCGCGACTTCAGCAAAGCTTTTGACACTTGTCTCCCATGGCATCCTCACAGCCAAGCTTGGGAAGCGTGGACTGGACCACCGGGCAGTGAGGTGAGTTGGGAAGTGGCTGAAGGAAAGAGCTCAGAGAGTTGTGGTCAGTGGGGCAGAGTCTAGTTGGAGGCCTGTGGCTAGTGGCATCCCCCAGGGGTCAGTGCTGGGTCCAGCCCTATTCAATATATTCATCAGAGGCCTGGAGGAAGGGACAGAATGCTGACCATACCAAACTGGGAGCACGGTCTGCCACGCCAGAAGCTTTGCTGTCATCCAGCGTGACCTGGACAGGCTGAAGAACTGCACGGGGAGAAACCTAATGAAATTCAAAA